AATTTGTTCTTGATCAGATTGTACTTAGCGAAAAAATCCTGTTGGGTTTGATGGTTCTTTTTTTTCTTGTTTCGTGGAATGAATGTCCAAATAAAACTCTCTAGATGCAATCTATTAAATTAAAATAACTCATATGAATAGCATCTAAGGCACAATAAAAACCAGAAATTAAATAGATGTTTGCAGAATCAGATAAATCTAAAAATAGAAGCAACTTCTCATCGTGCAAGGGTTTTGCATCTCCCTACTGTCTCTAAACACTATGGAGTCGTTTTTTTCCACAGCATAAACGTTGAAGTCAATTGCTTGGCTTGGTTCCCTAGATCATAGTCTTTAGCTTTGCATTTGTATTCGGTCTTTCTGTTGAGGGTCTGATGTCCGTGACCCTGTGAATGTTAACAGACTCCCCTTTGCTTAGCAATGCAGGGCACTGGTAGTGGTACTAAAAAAGTATCACCCTGCCATGGTTGACAAGACCCCCTCTCTACCCTCAATTCCAGAATACAGGACCACGGGTGCCGGTATGAACCCTTCCCTCCTGTAAGACAGAACCCTAATGATGCACCAGGGCTGATTTCAAAGTTAAATTAGGTTGCTCAGAGCCTTGTGTAGCCAAGTTCTGAAACTACCCAAGGATAGACATGCCACAGCCTCTCTAGGGGATCAGTGCCAGTGCTTAATCACCCTCACCGTGAAGGGTATTTTATTTATATCTAATCTGAAATTCCCTTGCTGTAACTTGCTTCTTTTGCCTATTTTCCTTTTGCTGTGTACCTCAAATGGGAGTTTGGCTCTCCCTTCTTTCTACCTGTTGAACGCTGGATGAAGTTCCATTCCAACCATCCATGAAGGATGGTTGGACTCGATGATGATGGTTGGACTCGATGATCCCAAGGGTCTCTTCCAACCTCAATGATTCTATGATTCTATGATTCTAAGTGTAGATAGATCCTCCTTTGCTTTCAGGCCAAACGCCCGCTGGTCTTGTCCTGGTGCCTCAGGACTGTGCATAGCATTCCAGGTGTTGTCTCCACGTGAGTGGGATATTTACTTTCCTTGGCCTGTATATATTTACATAAATATAAATGTTTGTGGGTTTTACATGTTTGTATTCCCACTTTATACAAGCATGGATAGGTTGATGTGATTATTCACCTCTACTCTGTGTATGTATAACTATGTATAAATATATGAAATACATATTACATTTTACATTATCTATATTTATTTATATGTATGGATGTGCACAGATACACACACAGGCATATATCAAAAATGAAGCATTGTTTTCTCATGTTTAATTTGATTAAAATATTTTTATTTGCTTTTGTTCAACTGAGTATTTTCAAATTATAATAGATGCTGCATTTTTTACTTCTGGTTTTCAAGAGCTGAATGAATCACAATGAGCCACTTATCAGTGTTTGCAAATACACCTGTTTTTTATGCAGATCCTGATTACTACAACAAAGAAATATTTGTAAGGGTAGCATTTGATTTGTGCCTGTTAAACAGTTTATAATGTGCTGACTCAGCGACTGAGAGGAGACCAATCCTCATAGAAGGCGCCAAACTTAGTCTAATGGGTGCAAATAATGGATTTGCATTAACACTTGCTCCAGGTTCAGACTTTAATTCCTAAAAACGAATCTCTACACTGTTGTTCTTGCATTTCACTGTCTGTATTCAAATTTTTCTACTTGTCCAGCTACTGCTTTGGCAGTAGGGGCTTTTTCCCCTTCAGTAGCCCGTAGGTACCTCAAATCTAAAGGCTGGGTGAAGGAATACGGATTTTGAGAATCATGTTTCACTGTCTCCAGGGCTGATTCTGAAGCTGGATCGTGGGGAAGTACCAATTTATAGGAGTCTTGGCTCCTGCAGTAGAAAATGAGATGCTTTTGGGTTGCTGAGATGCCGTTTAAGGATGTCCCCGCACCTGGATTTATCCTTAGACATCTCTCTGCTCTTTGCTTATTCCTGGTTGTCTGGGCCTTAGTCTGCAATACAGACTCGGGCAGAACGATTAGGAGTGGCTCCAGGGCTGAGTTTCAAGCCAGATTTGTGAGTCATCCAGACTTGTTTGACCATCTGGAAGAGCTCCTGGGCTGGCTCTGAAGCAATCCAGCTGGTGCCCTCCATGTGCAGGCTCAGGCCTTGTGTGCCCAGCCCGGCTGCTGCCTCCTATTCCCATTCCTCTTCCTTGCACTAGTGTCACATCTGGTGATATAAGATAGCCTGGACTTCTTCCTAAAAGGGGCCAGGCATTCTCTTCTCGAAGAGAAGATGACGTTTGAATGCAGCCTGAATTCAAGCCAAGTTTTTGCTGCTCACAAAAATGTAGCTTAGCCCGGGGGTAAGGTACAGTATAGACATAGCCCTGTTGTATAAGGGTGTTGTCAGGATACAGACATGTTATTTTTTGAAATCCTTAGATAACACAGTTTTGAGGGATGTACAAAAGACAGAAATAACAACTTGATGTTTGGTTTTTTTTAAACTGGATTGCGATTTATCTGAGTAAACAAAGTTTTTATCTGAGCCTAGTCTAAGCTGTCTATCTACAGATGGTAGAAAAAACATGAAGTACTTTTAGGCCATTGTTATTCTGACCTTCTCAGACATTTGCTTTAGGAGGAGAAGAATTGTGCCCTGGATTACATCCTCGGTTGTAAGTGGATGACGAGCTCCGAAGTGGACATTTGCAGTGGCTTCATTCAGAAGCCACTCATTGTTTAATTGAATACAATCAGGCCGCAGTAGTGACAGTCCACATGTATTCAGACAAGTTAATTGCGTATATAACTTCATTTGGAGAAAGTTGTAGGGGAGGCAGTAGCTGGTCCCCAGCAATCTGAAATACTGAATGGTTGTTGCATAACAAAAGACTGAACTGTATTTTAAGGCACAACCTCAGAAACTGGGAATACAACTCCATAGCTCCAGCAAGGATCCTGAACAAAGGCAAATAGAGAATTTCTGTCAAAAAAGATTTATCTAGGGAAAAAAGTTATTTATTAATTTGTGTGTCTTGTGATATTTTACTAATTATTTTATAATGAAAATCCCATGCCACATGATGAAGGATTCATGTTACACCATATGCGACGGAGCAGGGTGGTTGTATGTTTATGGTTCTTGCAGATTTACTGATAGATTCAGCTATGGTTGTTATAAATTCTGCAAACAGTTGCCTCAGTTTTAAAACCTAACCTCTTTTCAAATTTTAGTATACTTTGCCAGTAGACAAGTGTGCTGTTTTGCTTGAAAATGTAAGCTCTTTTTAAGTTAGAACATGGGTCATGAGTATCCTCGGAGCCAGACCAGCATTGGCTGCTGTAAGCTGACCGTGGCTGATCTTCAAGCTTCAAAAGCTTTGTTTCTACCAAGATCTCATCTGTGGACATTGATCATGTTCAGATCTGCTGAAAAAAAAAGAAAAAAGAAACCTTTTAAGTTTGAAATGGGTCTGGCTTCACTGGAAAAAATAATCAGAAGGGGTTTTGCCAACAATTAGGTAGGAGCTGGCAGCTCCTACAGTGCCGCGTGTCTAAGTCACTGTCTCCCACACTCTTAAAGCTTAGGCCTAACTTAAATGAAATGTATTTTTAAATGAATATTTTTAGAGTAATTTTAAATTATTTTTCCTGAATTTTTAAGATCTAAATATTCCTGGAATTTACCTCTCATCTCTCTTAGCATGGATTTCCATACTAGCTCCTGTAGTTGGTGCAGCACAGAAACAAATATTTGTGTGAAAGAAGACGTTTTCTCAGAGACTTTCAAACTTTCACAGATTCATTCTCATTCAGCTTTTCTTCATGTTTACTAGAAAAATACAGAGATGGAGTACCCTTGTTCAACAGGTATAATGCATTTTTCTTTATACCTCAGTTTATACCTGTAACATTTATGAGGTTACCATGAGCTGAGGTAACTGGTGATCCAACAGCCCAGGAAGGCACTCAGATATCTCCTTTATTCCTGTTGGGCAAATCCCATGAAGTGTTGGCTTTTTAAAGGTGACAATTATACCAGCTGCATTTTTCGTTTTGTTTTGCTTTGTTTTTAAATGTGTGTAAATCCATGCAATATAATCTGACATAGCTGTTGGTTTTTTTTCTGCGTTCCAAAGTAGACGGTCTGTGGTTTTATTTTCACTTAGAGTGAATAAAAATCCAGGGGTCTTGTGAAATCCCTCCTGATAGGAACCAGAAACAAACACAAGGGAATGCAGATACAAGGGGAAGGAGTAATGCCCTGCTTATGTATAAATTGAGAGGTTCATTAGGAATGACTGGTAAGGGAAGAGCATAGCTCATGAACATATGGGAAGTCAGTTTACTTCATAGAACTAAGGGTGAAAGGAAGGGATGTCTGCTTTTTATTAAAACCTGAAATGCATTATAATTGGCCTGAGTCGTTGCCCAGATGGCTTCTCTTACGCTGACATCTGTAAGAGTGTATATAAAGCAACATTAAGAAGCTGTCTCTTGTGACAGTGTGTACACATGTAATTCTGTTAAAAACTAAGTCTTTTGCTATCTGTAGTGTTGGTCTTTGAATAAGCATGCTGAGAAATGTCATTTGTTTGACAAAAACTAATTATGGAACATGCTTTTTACATGGAAGGTTTCTGCCACATGTGAGAAAACTTTTTAGGACTTTTCACCTTTTTTTGTAGATTTGTGTTCATTCTTTGTCATAAATTTCATGTAAACCTTTTTTTTTTTTTTTTTCCAGGGGGAAACTCAGGGTTTCTTCTTTCAGTTCTTTATATCTTTTTCCTGAAGTTTAAATGTAATTATTTTGAATTTTTACATTTGAATTTAAGTTGTTTTCCACTGACCAGTAAAGAGCTTAAATGACACCAGGATGTCCGTTTCCTAATATGCTGGTAGGACAGTGACAGTGGGTGCAATGTCATATATCCATTAGTCTGTTCGCTTGTGGGTAATACTTTTTAAATCAAGGTGTCAACATGCTGCTTCTTTCTTTATCAGACAACAGGAAAATTAAAGTCAACGGCACCAGGGAACCTATTGAGTTTAAGACAAATCAGTGGTTTGGGGCAACAGTCAAAGCTCATAAAGAAAAAGTTGTGGTAAGTCTTATGCATTTGGTATTCATTTGGAGATAGTGTTTATTTTTCTCAAATATATATCTTTAATAGATCTGTATGTGTAGATTATGGAAACAACTCTATGATTATGCATGAATTATAAAAGAGATGATGTATATAACTCAGAAAATGAGAGCAGTCAATAAAATCAAATTGAAGTGATCAAGTTAAGATGATCCCACTGCCATGTGAAAATAACAAAATGCCTTATTGTTATGGAAGTGAGTGATGATTTTTTAAAACAGATAATGGACATATTGTAGAGGTACACCATAACTGATAGTTACATGCTATGAAATGTTTTATGAAACTTTATTGGGAATGTTAAATGCAGAAAGTAATGGACACCAGGAACCTCTGCTGAAGATCAATCAGTGAGAGAAAGCACTGACCTCTTCTGTCACATTTTATATTGTTTTGAGCAGCTATGTCATAGTCATGGTAAAAGCTGCAAAAAAGTCATGATAAAAAGCTCCAAATCAAGATTGCTGTCAAAGTGTTAACTTTGTCTGTTTTCCAGTTTCATGGACCATTTTACCTGTGTTGATAAAGAACCCAAGGAGGGGTCAAGTACTTTTATTGCTTAGTAAAGTATTGATGATGCTGCTTACACACAGACATTTTATATTTACAGTTTATGCTCTAGGGTTTACATTAAAATGTCACCGAAATAATTGTGATAAGAATAATTAGTTTGGTCATTCATTTTATTAGTTTTTACAACTGCAAAGCAGCAATTTGTGTCTTGAGATTTGCTTAAAGCTTCCAATTATCACTTAAGAAGTAGTCATAATGGAAGAATTATGTAAAGGAAATGCTCTCGCTTAAAGGGTATGCCTTGTGGTTAACCTAGAGAAGGATTTTGACATGAAACAGGTAATGAATAAAACATCACCCTGTTCTGTTACAGTTACAGTTCTGTTACAGAACTAGCATATAATGTTAATTCTCTGTCACTTGTGCCAGCGTTATCACGGCTCTCAAATTTCCTATTCCTATTCCTATTCAAAATTCCTATTCCTATTCCTATTCCTATACATGACAGGCCTTCATGTACCACTCTTTTGCATGTGCACTTCCTAGTTAAAAGTATAAATATTATGTCACTTTTCTGAATTGTCAATGTAAAAATTCTAAAAATAGCTGAATTTTTTTCATTTTATATACTCTACTAAACAACAGTTCAGAAACTGAAATAGAATCGTTCTTTGCCACCATTTGCTGTATCTTAATCAAATAAGCAGAGCACCTCATCCCCAACCGGTGTGCTGTGTCTGTGCCGGCCAAACTTTGGTTTGCTTCTGATAACTCTTCTCAGGCTTTCCAAAACAAAGATACGGTCAGAGCGTTTCAGGCAAAAACTTGAATACTGAAGCTGGAAAACTTTGTCTTTTAAGCTTTGTAGACTGAAAGGAGGGAAAAAGAAAATCTAATCAAGCTGTCAGGAACTTTTTTTTTAAACTACTACTGTCATAGTACTGCTCCTGGGTCAGGGCAATCCCCAGGATCAGTGCAGGCTGGGGGATGAAGGGATTGAGAGCAGCCCTATAGCGTGTTGGTGGATGAAAAGCTAGACATGAGCCAGCAATGTGTGCTCACAGCCCAGAAAGCCAACCCCATCCTGGGCTGCATCAAGAATCACAGAATCTTCTAGGTTGGAAGGGACCTTAAAGATCATCTTGTCCAACCGTCAACCTAACTGACAAAACTGACAAAAATAGACACCCACACAACAAACAAGGAGCATCATCACTAAACCATCCCTCCCAGCACGACATCAACCCGTCTTTTGAACACCTCCAGGGATGGTGCCTCAACCACCTCCCTGGGCAGCCCATTCCAAGGGCTGAGAACCCTTTCAGTGAAAAAATGTTTCCTAATATCCAGCCTGAACCTACCTAAGAGAAGTGTGGCCGGCAGGGTGAGGGAGGTGATTCTGCCCCTCTGCTCTGCTCTGGTGAGACCCCACCTGGAGCTCTGTGTCCAGATCTGGAGTCCTCAGCACAGGAAGGACATGGACCTGTTGGAACGGGTCCAGAGGAGGGCCATGAAGATGATCAGGGGGATGGAGCACCTCTGCTGTGAGGACAGGCTGAAAGAGCTGGGGGTGTTCAGCCTGGAGAAGAGAAGGCTCCGGGGAGACCTTAGAGCAGCCTTTCAGTACTTAAAGCGGGCTTAGAAGAAAACTGGGGACAAACTTTTTAGCAGGGCCTGTTGTGATAGAACAAGGGGTAAGGGTTTTAAACTAAAAGAGGGTAGATTTAGACTAGATAGAAGGAAGAAATCTTTTACAATGAGCGTGGTGAAAATCTAGAATAGGTTGGCCAGAGAGGTGGTAGATAACTAGAATAGGTTGGCCAGAGAGGTGGTAGATGCCCCGTCCCTGGAATCATTCAAGGTCAGATTGGACAGGACCCTCAGCAGCCTGATCTAGTTGAAGATGTCCCTGCTCACTGCAGGGCAGGGTGGACTAGATGACCTTTAAAGGTTCCTTCCAACTCAAACTATTCTATGGTTCTATTATTCTCTTCTGTGATTCTATGGTAGTAAACTGCATTACATTAACGTTTACGATTATAAATAATTTTTGTTTCAATCCATTTTGCTCAATGTCAAATGTATCTAAAATCACCCTCATAGGACACATATTCCTTTTCTCTTCACTCTAGTTTTGCCCTTTGATATGTTTTAACCTGTAAGGTCTTTTAAGCAGGAGCATGTTAAGAGTCCCTGGTCCTTAAATCAGTGTTCCAGAAGCTCTGAATTTTATGTTAAGCTCGGTGTAGCACGGTGGTTCATCAAGCTGGAACTGATTGCAGAACTAAGGCTTGCACAGTAATGTGAATAATACCAATGCCTTGCCAGAGATAGATAAGGTTCTGATTGGAAAAGTAAGATGAAGTAGGACATGAATGGAGGATTTATTTGTGTCTTAAGAGAGACAAGGTTTTAGGGAGAGGTAATATCTTCTCCTCCTCAGCCAATTGACAAGTTTTAGGTCACAGGAACCCCTGAGGAATGACTTTAATACCTGACAGTTTCTCTCCTCTGTTTTTCCAATTATTTTAATTACTTCAAAGCAAAAAAAAAAGTCTCTCTCTCTACACAACTTGTCTATCTTTTGTTGTTACACTGTCATGTTAGTAAAACCACTACCGTAACACAGAAGATTAAATATTAGTTCACTAGCCAAAATTTATTTAGCAAAAACCTGTTCACTGAGAGGCTGTTGAATGCATTATAGCTGTATCATCTCTCCAAAGATGGGAGCCAGGGTTTTATAAGGCAGACAATCTGATGACTGTGACACGGTATGACACACCACCCTGACAAAGCTCCTGCTGAGTTGAACCATACCAGTTCTACTGCAATGGCCATTATCTTAAGACGTATCAGGACAGAAGCAGGAATGTCTTCAGCGTGTGATCTACATCTTAAACTATGGGATCAATCAAGTCCTGTGCAGTGAGCAGTAATAAAGCAGACATATTACTTGTGAAGCAGGCTTAGAGGGTATTTGTAACATATGCTTAAATTTAAGTTGTGGTCCCTGACAGATTTCTCCTGATAAGGGCTGTGAGTGCAAGTTCAGACTGTGCTTTTCAGATTATAATGAAATTATAAGCAGCAGTGGTCCTGCATTTCCTTCTGTCACTATGTTATGATCATTTCTGCGTAAATGATACAATAGCATAGAATCCTTGTACACTGAAAAAACCTACATTTGCCCAATGCATGAGTATATGAAAGGTACATGAGATATCATTTCTGTTTTGATAGGCTTGTGCTCCCCTATATCATTGGAGAACCCTTAAAGATACCCCTGAGAAGGACCCCGTTGGCACCTGCTACGTAGCAATTCAGAACTTCAGTGCCTATGCTGAATATTCACCTTGTCGCAACAGTAAGTATTAATAGGAATAATCTTGTGTTGGAGGAATTGATATTGCACTCAATGTTTTCATCCTTTCAGTCTTCACGCAGTCTTGGTTGAATGAAGATTACTATATGACATTATTTAATTGGATGAGGGTTAAAAAATCAAGATTAAATTATATCCTGCAGTTGGATGCTTTATTGTATAATTGAAAGAGGAGAACTTAAGTAAATGAAACTTACACAGTTACAGTGATGAGATATAATTGGTTCAATTTAATGGTTTTTAAATGTAGCAAACGGATCTAGATAAGAACCAGACACCATTTTAAACCAATTACTCATGCTTAGTATAAATCTCTCATCGCAGGATCACCATCTGAAGACCAGACCCTCCACAGAAACACACAAGCCTGTATCACCATTCATGCCAATATCGCCCACAATAGCCCATTTATGAAGGACTTCCAGCATGGAAGAAAGTATGCACATTAGCACTGCTGTTCCATGCTCTTCTCTGTGGATGTGGTAGCAATCTCTGGGCCTCACTTCTTGGAGAATAGGGCAAAACAGTGCACATATGTTTAGAATCAAGTTCAGTTACCTAGAAGTCTGCATAAAGTACCACACATTAGATTAAATCAGTTGTTCATCCTGTTCAGCATCCTACGTCTAAGTGTTTATGATGATTATTAATACTCTCATTACCTCAGTGCTCCAAGTTATTAAACTCAGTATGAAGTATCCAGGGACCTTACTGGGCTTTGGACTGGGCTGGGTGTGTGGCAGTTTCTGCACTCACAGAGCAGAGAATTGTTCTTTCAGTTATTTTTCTAAAGGTAATGTGTGTAAGAGAGCATATATGATGGGCTTACCTCTCTCTTCCAGGGGAAGCCCTCACAGCAAAGCCGTGATGGTGTTCAGTGTAGCTGAGATGGGGAGCTGTGTCAGGTTGCATGAGCCAGCTGATGAGACAAGAAGTCTGAGTGTAGTTCCTTGTCATGATACTCCTGTGGTATCATGGCAATGGGTGTCGTGATACCCTTGTACAGAGACCCTGCTATTGCAGCACTCTTGCCATGTGCGCATGGGCTAATTTCAAAACACACCTTTTAACCATTCCTTTACTGCAAACTGCTGCTCCCTTCGAGATTCTCATGGATTATTTTGCCAAGAACGTAACAGGTATTTTACAGAAAAAGCAGACGCTTACTTCACGTAATGAAAAGGTCTCTTTCCTGTGAAGATCTAGAGACAGCACGCCAGAAAACCTGCACACCTCTAGCAGTGTGAGACATGGGCATGTACATTCAGTGTTACTCCTGGCTTTCCTTTCCTCACATTGAAGCATAGCTCTAACTGAGTTGTGCTGCCAGATCTTTTCTTTTAAAGCCTAAGCCTCATCCCTGGATGGACAGGTAAAGGAAGAAGCTGAATCTGTAAGAAATGGTGACCATAAGATCGTGCTTTATGTGCTTCTGGTGTCTCACTGGGGCTTTGCCAAAGGCTTACGCTATTCAAAAAGAGTTCAGGTGGCCATTTCTGCTCTCATTTTCCCAATCCCGCAGACTTCCAGCACTCCAGTGCTCACAGAAGAGCCCTAAAATGCGTGTCAACACATCTGCTACAATTATGGAAGGATTTGCAGACTAGAAAAAAATAGAAGCAGGAAAGATGTTTTTGCGTGTACAAATGTGCATCCAAAATTAGATTACATTTCAGCTGCCATTGAGCAAATGTGTATAAATTTAAGGACTGGCCCTTGTGAAGGACACGTGCCCCTTTCCCTTGCCCTAATACAGATAAGCAGGACGTTGTCTGAATGTTGACATATGCCAGGTCATCTACTATGTCAGCATTTTTTGAGAATGCCCTAGGCAACACTTATTTTTGTGTTGATGACAGAGCCGACTGTGGTGCCTGGGGTTTTCTTGTCAAGTTTTTTACTTTTGTATCTCCAGCCAAATTCAAACTGAATCCCTGGTAGTTATTGCAAGGGTCCTTCCTTGGTAGCGAGAGGAGAAAATCCCAAGGAACTGGTCCTGTTTTTCAAAACCTTCTCAAGAGGGCTGCATGTTCAGGGTCCTGGAGAAGGTCTTGATTTGCTCTGCCTCTTCTGAAAAAGAACGCACATCTTTTCACATATTTTGCTAGTTTTGCCTTTACAGCCTTCCAGCTCCAGGGGCGTGTAAGCTGTCTTCCACATGTACTGTGAAGTCCATAAAATGCTTCTACCTTCATAATTGCAGGCAATGCAGATCCCGAAGGACAAGGCTTTTGTCAAGCAGGTTTCAGCTTAGATTTTTACAAGGTGAGATTCTGCTTCTGAAATACTTTAACCAAAGGTAACTCTGATATACCCTCTGTATTCAAGCACTGTCTTAGTGATTCAAGGTTTGTCCCCATGCTCTTGCATGTGAAAAGTTTCGTGAAGTTGCAGTAAGTTCTTTCCTCCTTTGCATGCTTTGAAGTTTCTGGTTTCATTAATGATAGAAACACTGCAATCAGCACCTCCTTATCTCTTTGCAGCACTGCAGTCTGACACTGCTTAGCCTATCTTAATAGAGAAATAGGTGAAAAATTGTATGGGCTTCTGTCTCAGTGTGTCCCCCTTACAATGCTCTCTAGATCCCTGACTTTCATGAAAGAATTAGCAGGCATCAGTTAGATTTTTTAAAGTTAAAATAGCTCGTACAAAGATGCTTTTGGAGGCAGACTAGTCGTTGAGTAAGACTGTTCTCTTGTGGAGAAGATGCATAGGGTGATCTTAACTTCATTTACGTATGGATTTTCCTGCACATCTATGCACCTACATCCTTTCCTTGAACAGGGCTGTTCTCCTCTATCATGATTCTGATATTCTTTTGGTCATTTAAATTGTTTTTCCCATGCATACTTAATTTTGTTGTGTTCTTTTGTTGTGTAATTTTATTCAATTCTGCTTTTTGTAGAATGGAGACCTGATAGTAGGCGGGCCTGGTAGTTTTTATTGGCAAGGTATGTTCATCTGGCTGGTTAACTTGATCTAAGAAGTGAAGCAGAAAATATTGTAGAAAACATTCTAGATTTCCATTGTTTTCTCAGTTTAAGATAACCAGTCTCTGGTCTTATTTTCAACAAATACAAATCAGAAGAATTGCTTAACAAGCAACTGAGCATAAAAAAAAACGGGGAAAAATAAGATGTGGGTTGTATAGGAAGCAAAACAAATAGAAATAACTATTTTTATGTTGGCATTTTAGCACATTTATCATTTAATTAATAAGCTGAACTTTTCCCTAGAAATACTGAAATTTTAAAAATTGTTAATATTTGTACATTTGTCACTATTTGTTTCTGAACACAACCTTTTATTGCTATCTGCGTATATTTTTAGTTTGTTTGTGGCATCACTATGGTTTTCAAGAGGTGGTTTCTGATGTAGGTAAAACCTGAGGTGCTTTTGGTAAAGGAGTAAAAGGGTATTTTTGCTTTAACCTGTTTTGACACGGATGATGTAGCTGATTCCCAGACCCTACCTACCAGCTCGCTCATCATCAGCCTCAGGGATGTGTGTTTTTGCATTGCTGTTAAAGGAGGAAGATGTAGTTGATTATGGTGGTAGGGAATTCATAGTTTTGAATTCTCCATTGAGAAATTGCTTCCATGGGTCTGCTAAGTTTTTACTACACAGCATCAAAAGGTAGCTGAGCCTGAAAATGCTTGACTTCAGTTTGAATCAGCACCTTTAAATGCGTCTGGAGATGTTTTTGTGGTGGTTCAATGGAGTCTCAATGCCTTGTTTTATTGATTTATGTGTACTCTGGAGACTTTCAGGGTAATAATGGAAAAAGATTGAGAGAAGTTGTCTACTCTTTGCATCTGTGCTGTATTATCAGCTCTGTTCTGATTTTCTGCTAGCCCTATTTAGTAGAAACTGCCTCTCCTTTATGCCGCTTTCATTTATGAAGCTGTTTGAATCCAGGTCAGGTAATCACTGCGAGCATCGCGGATATCATTGCAAATTACTCCTTCAAGGATATTTTGAGGAAGCTGGCACGAGAGAAGCAAACAGGAGTGGCCCCACCCTCATATGATGACAATTACATGGGTAAGCTAAGCTCTATGTCAGTTAGCAATACGTTCTAAAAGCATGGGTCTTACATAAAGGTGAAAACAAGCCCTAAATTACTAATGTCCCAATTGTGAGAAGATTTAAACATGCTTTGCCTTAAGCACAACCTCAAATCAGTAGTTTGCTAGTTATTTCAGTGGGACTATGAACATTCTGAAAATTATGCACAGCAACAGGGTTTGAAGGTTGAGATTTAAATGGCTCATTAGGATACTTATTATTTGATCTTAAATAATTAAACAGAAATGCAGAATTTTACCATTGATATCTTATTTTCATTCCAAGATGACAGATTGAGTTTAAAGTCATTAAAGACTATTTCAATTTTTAATAGATAAAAGAAAATTCAGTTCTACCATATTTTGTGCAGTACTGCACAAATACCCAGTTTATTCTTACTGATTTTAAAAAGATGCAATTGAAGTAAGCAATAAGAACAGTCAATTTGAATATACTATGTAATAAATAAAAAGACTCTTTATGTACCTTTTATTTGTACTGATCTCCAGGAATTTGCATGACGTGCTCATGGCTCTGCACGTAAAACAGGTTTTTCTTCACATAGTTATAGAAAAGATGCAGTGGAATTTGCAGGGAAAGGTGCATCCTTTCGTCTCTGCCTATAGATTTGAAATTGCAGTCCTTGATACAATCCCAAAGTCTTTACTCTGTCATTAGCAATTATCTCAGAGGTTTACTAAAGCTCCAGAAGGCACTTAACTGCATCTTTGGAAATCTGCTTTCTATACAGAGCTAGAGGTGTCCCTGCCCAGGGCAGGGGGGTTGCAACTCGGTGATCTTTAAGGTCCCTTCCAACCCAAACCATTCCATGAGCTCCAGAAGGCATCTTTGGAAATCTGCTTTTTATACAGAGCTAGAGGTGTCCCTGCCCAGGGCAGGGGGGTTGCAACTCGGTGATCTTTAAGGTCCCTTCCAACCCAAACCATTCCATGATTCTGTGAATGAAGACCTAAATTGTGTCAATAGCTGTTAGGGCAAACCACCATAGTACCTGCTGTCTTTTCAGATAAATTATTCTTTTGGAGAAAAGGAATAGATATATTATATATTCAGACCTATAGTTAAATTAGTCATAATATTGCTATGAACAGTTTTCCTTTTTGTCCACACAGTTTTAGTATACCAGTGTTAGAAAATTTGCATTCTGATGATCAGATGAAGAGACAAATCTGATTGTCCTTGCATATTTTTTGAAAGAAATGGTTTATCAAGTGTTTTGCTTGTAATTTATCTTTGAACAGGATACTCAGTGGCTGCCGGGGAATTTACTGGGGATTCTGAACAAGGTAAGAAGCTATATACTTGAATGGAAACCATATGGCCATACACCTATTAAATTCCTCATTTTGGGTCTCTACGCAGGAACGTACCTTTTGTGCATTTGAAACCCTGATGAGACTTAAGCTATCTGTGCCCAACATTCTCAGAGGCAAAGACTTCCTTAGAAGCAGAGCAGAATTTAAGTAACCCAAAAGTCTGAATCCGTTTTTATGGTGGTGTGCCCATGCATCTATTCAGCAGATAGAGCTGTCACAGCATGGTAGGTGGAGCCATCCAGGCTCACTTGATTTAGCCAGTTTGGGGACCAGTAGTCAGTAACCTGACTACTAGTCAGTAACCTGAGTATGGATGGGAAGACCGTCCTGGTGACCAGTAGTCACCAAACTGGAGCCAACAGTGCAGTCCTGGACGGTCTTCCCATCCATACTCAGGTTACTCACGTGCACGGAGGCTGCTGGTCCCCAGCACCTGGCTGGCCAGATGCAATGTGGCTTGGAAATACAGTCTTCCCATCCATACTCAGGTTACTCACCTGCACGGAGGCTGCTGGTCCCCACCATCTGGCTGGCCAGATGCAATGTGGCTTGGAAAGGTCTGTGTGTGCTGAAAGCACACTTCTGCCTGCCACATACACCTCACAGCCCAGGCTAGGAGGTAACATTCAGCTGCTTCTGCACAAAGATGTGTCTCCACCGGCATGCTAGCTCTCGTTGGTGAAAGCAACTATAAAAGCTCTATAAAAGTTTTCCTAGTTCCAGTTCATGTGCTGTAATGGTGGGGTGCTTGGGGCAGTTCATTAGCTGACCCTGTTTATACATGATATTTTTCTGCACCGGCATAACGCAGTAAGAACAAGTTCCCTGTGCTCTTGCTCCTACCCCGAGCTTTATATTTAACAGCAGGAGACAGAAGATTTGAATTCCTTTTTATAAAACCTGTGCTTAGAGGCAGAGAAAACATTCTACAGGAAGATGAGGTGTTCAATTAGTCCCTTGAATTAGGAAAAGCTTAATGCACGTGAGTATAAATGTCTGAATATAGAATCATGCCTGAGACTTTGTAAAGGTTCTTGGATCAAGTAAGTTTGATACAGAACATAGAATAATTTGCATGTAGATGACAACTGTCATCCACAAAGAACCAGACATCTCACAGACTTAATAGCATTGCTTAAAAACATCATCACTGTTAAACCTTCACCTGCTTCACATGTTTCATGATCTGTAAAATCACTACCTTCTAGGACTCTGCATTAATGAAGAGCAGGTTTGGATCAGAATTAGAGGATAAATATCCTTTAAATGTGCAAAATGTCATTGCATGACTTTGACTTAGAATTCAGCTCAAACACTGAGGTTCAAGCTGTTGCCTTTGGGAAAAAGTGACACAGGATATTTATTAGTTTCACATGTCCAGGGAAAACTGTCCTGGAAGGTGGCAGCTTCAGTAATATAGTTCTGTTAATTCTCTAAAGACAAAGTCAGAGCAATCCATCCTGCAAGGGCTAGGTTTTGCAGCCATACTTCTTGGAGCTTTAACTAAGTACAGACAAAACTTAAACCCCACTTAATTGATGTACTGAACTCATAGCACAAAGTACTGTGGCAGGAGAACTAAACCCAGGCAGAACATTGCCTGATTTCTAAGTTGTAAAGTGTGTTTTGGAGGTGTGTTAGAACACTAGTTTCTCCGTGTCTCTGTGAATTGAATCCAGTGTAGAGAAAAAGCTCCAGTTTCAAGTTTCATAGACTATGTTAAAAATAATAGTCAGAAATAGAAATTTGCCCAGGATTTAGCTATTTTCAAGTGTTCTGAAATTGTACAGGATTTCAAAACATACAGTTAGCTGAAAATATCTATAATGCCTGGGATTTCATAACTTATGAACTATGTTTCTTTACAGGGCTGACAATCTGTCAGAAAGTATTGCTTACGGGGTAGCTTTCTTGAGGGGATGAACAGCTCTGTGGTCCAGGCTCAAAAAGCCAGGAGAGACATAAGACATTTCTACAAATGACCCCAGCTCCCCAGAACTGCTGCTGCTTAATCCTTGTAGAGTTTCCCATCCTGTGCCACTATGGGTTAAAAAAAATAATAATAATTTTGCACTCAATGCTATAATGTGGAAAAAATATGTGTCCCTGGTAATGGAAGGCTGCAGCCAAGTGTATGTTTGTATAGATATATATCTATAAATGCATATTAATGTTTTTATAATGGATGGTTCATGAGTCACTAAGTAACATGAATGATTGGCACAAAGAATTGCGCTGTTGAATGACCCGGGACATCCTGTGTCCTGTTCAGTCCTTCACTGCTCCTTCCAACCACAGGGGAGTAGATAAACCCAGAGAGGAACAGAGGACAGCTAGGTCAATACAAGCAGGTGTCTGAGGTGCTTTGATACCTGAAGTCCCTACTGCTGTCTTCTGATGTGGATATCCTAATGAGGGAAGGTTTAGACAATAAGACTGTGACTTTGCTTTTTCCATTTTTTCCACTAGTTGTTTCAGATTTTGCCATTGAGCAGAATTACATCCTAGAAGGCAGCTAGGTCCAGTGTCTCATGTTCTTGTTCAATGGATTCCCTCAATGCCACTCACAGAAAATCTCCCTCTAATGCTTTTAGCTAGCTTCTAGCTCAGCAAAATGCTTCTAGCTTAGCCAATCTTGTTGAACACTTTAATGATTTCAAGCCAAATAACAGATGAGACAAACTCTTGTGCAGCCAGAAAGAAAAGGGGTTTTTTTAGGATACCTGCGTTTAGCTTCTGTACTATAGTGTGTGATGCCATAATTAATTCTGGTTCCATCCATCCACAGCTGGCATGTAACAAGCTGAATAGTATTAAGATCTTTATTATACTGTGCTGTGCTAAGTAATACTAGGCAGAAGGAGATCTCTGGATGAGTGAATTCAGCAGTTAAGATGTAATATTTCATGCAAGTAGATGCACTGAATGAATGCTGACAACTTAGAAATTAATGTCTTGAAGTGATTTGCATGTGTTTCTGATACAGATAACAAACCCAAATCCTAAGGGTTATTTATGTATCAAGAAAGAATTTCAGTGGTGTGGGGTCCATGTTTCATGCACCACTCAGAGAGCATAACCAGTCCACTGTTGGTCATTTCTCTTTTCAGAGTTGGTTGCTGGAGTCCCAAGGGGAGCACAGAACTTCGGCTATGTATGTATTGGACCCTCATTTTATCCTTTTTATGGTGAGAATGCAGTTAGATTATTTGGAATACTAAAGTCTACATTATATTCCCTGTCTCTTTGATTCTAAATTTTCTCATCAGAGAAAAACTGCCACTGACTTTTACCCTCAGGCTTACCTGGCTGTGTTGAAACATCTTATTGGTTTGGGCTTTGAGTATTAATCACTTGATCCTTTCCGAAGTTTGTTTTCAGTGTCCAGTTAGAAGCATGCTTTGAGTATTACCAGTATCCCTCTACCTGCTGAGTGTTACCAGACCTAAGCTTGCCCATGGGTTGGCCTATTTCATGTGCGATGCTGTGTCCACAGTGGGGAGAAGTCCTAGTTCAGATTATTCGTACCCAGTGTTTATTTTCAGTGCTTTAAGTACATACACTGAACACCAGATGCAAGAAGTCACGATATGCCATTAGAAGTGAAGGGAGAAAATGATACAGGTGTGTGGATACATCTTTTAGCTCATAGGAAAAAAAAAAAAAAAGTTTCAGAACCCACCTGACTAGGAGAGATCCCAACCACAGACACATTCTCTAGTTTTCACAGAATCATAGAATGGTTCTGGTTGGAAGGGACCTTAAAGATGGACAATTCCAAATCCCCTGCCCTGGGCAGGGACACCTCCCAGTAGACCACGTTGCTCAAAGCCCCATCCAGCTGAAATTCCTTGTGTCTCTGGAAGTTACTAATACCATTTTTCAGAGGAAAGGTGTGTATGTGTGTGTATATATATATGTAGGTTCAGGCTGGATATTAGGAAAAATTTTTTCACTGAAAGGGTTCTCAGCCATTGGACTGGGCTGCCCAGGGAGGTGGTTGAGGCACCATCCCTGGAGGTGTTCAAAAGCCGGGTTGATGTAGTGCTGGGAGGTCTGGTTTAGTGATGATGCTCCTTGTTTGTTGTGTGGGTGTCTATTTTTGTCAGTGAGGTTGACGGTTGGACAAGATGATCTTTAAGGTCCCTTCCAACCTAGAAGATTCTGTGATTCTGTGATTCTGTGATGTATGTGTGTTTATATTTCTTAATGTTTTCGTGTGCACTAATCTAGTCACTGATTAGCTGATAGACTGTGATTTGCTGCTGTTCACAATGTTGAGTAAGGAAGGAAAATAGTCCTTTCCTCATTTTATTCATGGAGGACCTGAGACTCATATAATCCTAGTCATATATTCAAGATCATCTAGGAAAACTGCAGTGAAATGAAATAATTGGTTTTTTCTTGAACACCGGGACCATCCTTCAGTGTGTCAAATTGGTTTGCAGTGATGTTACACTGCAACATCTCTGTGTGCTTGAAACTTTTCCTGTTTTTCTGTTACCAGGTTTCAATTATTAATTCTTCAGACTTGACCTTTATCCAGAATTTCACTGGTGAACAGGTAATGTCAAGCAAGTACATGATGAAATATTGTATCTGTAGAGAATATAGTTTCATTAACATAGTTTCAAGAGTATTTAAAATATTTTTTAGAATTAATGACCATAGAAAAAAAAGAGGATTATCAGTAAAGAAATTTTAAAAATTGATATCTGATGTGAAAGCCTATCTGTTGTTTTTTATTTCCAGATGGCGTCTTATTTTGGGTACACTGTTGCAGTATCTGATGTTAACAATGATGGGTAGGTTACCAAATACATTCAGCTCCAATGAACATTCATGGAAGCAATGCCTGATATTTATTAATAAACATAGGTTTTCAGGTGCTTCATACCTCAAAATGCTTCTCTTGGCTTCTCTGCTTTTCTAATTTTAATTGTTCGTGTAGCCTTATCTTTGTGCAATTACAGTGGCACAAGTATTTGCAGGCCTAGTTTGGGTGAGTTTGTCTTCCTGAGTATTTATTCAAAGCAGCATGGCAAAGTGGGAATGTCCAAAGTCTTAGGAAACAGATCCAGGTAGAATAATAGTGAATAAACAGTGCTAGCTACTGCTAGGTGGAAGTCAGAAGTTCGTTCTCCCATTCTCAACAGCAGCTGTCTTCTCATGTGTGGACCATCCGTAGCTTCACTTCTCAGTTTTAAAAGCTTTCCAATATCTTCAGCTCCTCATTCCAGCACCTGCTGGTTGTCCATCCATTTTCATCATCCAGAGGACCAAGAAGTGTCTCAATGTTGAGTAAGGAAGGAAAATAGTCCTTTCCTCATTTTATTCATGGAGGACCTGAGACTCATATAATCCTAGTCATATATTCAAGATCATCTAGGAAAACTGCAGTGAAATGAAATAATTGGTTTTTTCTTGAACACCGGGACCATCCTTCAGTGTGTCAAATTGGTTTGCAGTGATGTTACACTGCAACATCTCTGTGTGCTTGAAACTTTTCCTGTTTTTCTGTTACCAGGTTTCAATTATTAATTCTTCAGACTTGACCTTTATCCAGAATTTCACTGGTGAACAGGTAATGTCAAGCAAGTACATGATGAAATATTGTATCTGTAGAGAATATAGTTTCATTAACATAGTTTCAAGAGTATTTAAAATATTTTTTAGAATTAATGACCATAGAAAAAAAAGAGGATTATCAGTAAAGAAATTTTAAAAATTGATATCTGATGTGAAAGCCTATCTGTTGTTTTTTATTTCCAGATGGCGTCTTATTTTGGGTACACTGTTGCAGTATCTGATGTTAACAATGATGGGTAGGTTACCAAATACATTCAGCTCCAATGAACATTCATGGAAGCAATGCCTGATATTTATTAATAAACATAGGTTTTCAGGTGCTTCATACCTCAAAATGCTTCTCTTGGCTTCTCTGCTTTTCTAATTTTAATTGTTTGTGTAGCCTTATCTTTGTGCAATTACAGTGGCACAAGTATTTGCAGGCCTAGTTTGGGTGAGTTTGTCTTCCTGAGTATTTATTCAAAGCAGCATGGCAAAGTGGGAATGTCCAAAGTCTTAGGAAACAGATCAAGGTAGAATAATAGTGAATAAACAGTGCTAGCTGCTGCTAGGTGGAAGTCAGAAGTTCGTTCTCCCATTCTCAACAGCAGCTGTCTTCTCATATGTGGACCATCCGTAGCTTCACTTCTCAGTTTTAAAAGCTTTCCAATATCTTCAGCTCCTCATTCCAACACCTGCTGGTTGTCCATCCATTTTCATCATCCAGAGGACCAAGAAGTGTCTATGGCCTGTGCTTGTCTGGAAGGAGAGTGCTGCTCAGCTCCCAGCATCCTGCCTAAGACACTCAGGGATTTCCCAACAGAACGCTTGCTAACTGGCCTGTCGTCGTTAGGCGTTGTGCTTGTCTGGAAGGAGGGTGCTGCTCAGCTCCCAGCATCCTGCCTAAGACACTCAGGGATTTCCCAACAGAACGCTTGCTAACTTTGAACTTAGGCAAAGTCTAAATGTTTTAGAAGATCGTGACTTTAGTAAGTGAGTATTGATAGTAGCTTTCTAGAAAGGAGATACAGATCCCTGAAGCTCAGAGCCTTGGAAGTCTGCACAAAGGTGAGCCAGGATTATAGTTAGAGCTATGGCATACTCTTCCCTATTTCAAAATGTCTCAGATGTGTCTACTTCATATTCTTTTTTTGTGATTATTTCTTATTAGGTGCTTAAACATAGTGCATTTAATAATTTTTCTGGGCTAAATCATTACTTCCCATAAGCGACTAGTGACCCTTTAAAGAGTGAGGGTAAAAAGTAACAAGGTGATAAAATGTTACTTCAGTTCCAAAATAAATTAAAAAATTTAAAAAAGGAAAATAAAAGGAAAAAAGAAGCAGTTTCAACAGTGGTGGCTTCATGGTACTCGAATCTTTCCAAGTTTCTGAGATCAAATTTTGTCATAGTGCCATAGCTTTTGAAAGTTCCTATTTTTATGATATACAGAGTCAGGGTTAATTTAGTCCTACCATAATGCATTACTAATGTGAAAGGATGGAGAAATCTGAGTTTCAGGGATTTAAGTTTAATCTGAGTTTCAATAGACATGCATTAAACTTTCAGGGAACTTGCCATTTAACTTCTCACTGAACCAAATAATTTCCTGTGCAGGTTATTTCCTGTGAACCATAGGGTTACTTGGCAGGTCTCATATTTTGTGTGTACCTCTAAGACCACAGTTTATGTCAATAATATAATCAAACTGCTGTTGAGGCCTGTGTGGTCTCCCAGTCTATATCTTAAAAGAAATCTAAAGACTCTCCCTGAGATCCAAACATCCCTCAGAAAACAAAACACAAAAAGCTCTACTTGATAAACATGTCTGATTAGATATGTGGTCTATCTTTGCTGGTGTGCACATATAGTCAATAGAAATATTTATCTGAAAGGGAGAGTAAAACAGAGAGGGAGAGGGGGAAAAAAAGCAAAAGGGAAATGACCACTTCAAATTCACTTGCTTTTTTTTTTGTGCAGCTAAGAATAAAGGAGGTGGTGATGGCCTTATCAGTATGAGAACCCCGATTAAGTAACATCTGAAAAGATTAATAGCAATAATGCTTTGCTGTGTAATAAGGCTGAAGACATGGCTTAAAGGTTGGTCTCATCCTGGGAAAAAAAGCCCTGTGGACCTTCTGCTCCAGCAGCTCTGCAGGTGTTCCAGAGTGCCTCTTGCAGTTTGGTCTGCACCACATCAGCATTGTAGGCAGAATAGGGAAATTGAGGGGATCGTTTGAACTAATGTTTAGTTGCCCACTGCTAATAATGAGAAGTCCACAGATTTGCCGTCAACTTAAAGACTACATTCCTAGTAAAGAGGAAAAAGAGAACATGTTCAATTTAGACTGAAATGGTCCAATAAAAATAGTGGAATAAACTGTTTACTGGTCTTTTATTTGGCCTATATCAAAGCTCCCCGTAGTTACGCTTTGACCTCTTGACATTTCCCATACTCCTGCTTTTTATTACTTGGCAGGATACAAAGAAACTGCATACAGTCTCAGCAGGTGGTCACCTTGTACTTTTTAAAGTTTTTTTTCTATCAAAAAGGAAGCAATAGTGGCTGATTACCTTTCTGTGCTGGAACAGAAAATAAATATATAATTTATGTTAACTGCAGCATCTTAGTGCAGTCATGAAATAAATCTAATGAGCCAGTTCAAAATACTTCTGCAAACTGAACTGCACTTTACAGTTTAATATTACTGTCCAGCAGCTTTCTCTTTGCGCTTACGGCCTTTTAAAAGGAATCACATCAACCTGAATTTGTCTGAGAACTCCAGTTTCATAAATATAAACTCCTACAATTTAAAAAAGCCAATTGAAATACCCTCCTTCACCAACAGAAATGCGTCATTCTAATCACACAGGTACTCATAAACAAACAAGTGCCCCCCCACTGTAAATATAAACCCCTACAATTTAAAAGCCAATTGAAATACCCTCCTTCACCAACAGAAATGCGTCATTCTAATCACACAGGTACTCATAAACAAACAAGTGCCCCCCCAGCCCTTGACTGCTTGATGTTACTTTGGTTTTAAGTTATTACTTAAAACTGTAGGAGGTGGGAAGTAAAGCTGACTATGAAGCGTGGTAAGCAGCAATGCTTGCTTATTACCCACGTGGAGAGAAAACAGGAATCAGTAAATGAGGGTTGGAGAGAGCAGGGCAGATGAAGAAGCGTTCCTCTCTGGCCGTAGTACACTCCTCTGACAGTGACAAAATAACCCCAAAATAACATACCCAACCCCCTAGAATTGCCTAAGAGAGCAGTCCTCCTTGCAGAGGACTGGCTGAAGCTGCTTGCCTTGACCTACAGAGCTCATCACTGATAGGGAAAGGGGGGAAGTGAAGAGGGTGAGGGGAGGAAGGCCTTGGTGTGGGTGGGACGTGCCGATCCCTGGAAGGAAGGCACACGAAGTGCTGCGGGTGTTCCTGGGGGTCTGCTGCCCCTAACCAGGGTAGGAGTAGGTCAGTGTCATTTAGATGACATTCTTCCTCCTGTCTTTCCCTCAGCACATCAGAAGATCAGCCATCTTAGCTGCTGGGTTCTTTTTCACCACTCCCTGAACTATTCATGCATTTTACACAGTCATTGTAATTTATTTTAACAAAGGAGAAGTTTTCCTGGAAAAATCCCCCAGCACTGTGCACTTCCAGCTGAGATGCTGTGACACCTGCACAACAGACTCTAGCTCTTCTCTGCTTGCTTTCTGTCTCACCTGGTGAATCTTGTATTCTGGGCTAGGCTTCTGCTTGGAGAATTTTTGGCCACTGAGGATGATAGGTGGTCTGCCTCTTGCCTTTCACTGGTTTAGGCACTCTGGATATTGCTCTATGGACCAGAGTTCCAAAGGAGTCTAGGTATCTACTTATTTTACATCCATGTACTGGGAGCTTCCTGGCTCTGAATTTTTTGGTTCCTCTCCATCCCTAAAAAAAATCTTCCCTTAGTCTTCAGTTGTAAAATATCCATCGGAGCCAAGTATATCTTTCATTTAATGGTTTATACAGCACATAACACCATGGGGTCCCAGGCTTATTGGGAATATCTGGACTGCAATGTAATAAAATAATAATTGCTGATAGTGCTACTGGGTAATGCTTTTAGTACATGGCATACATAAAATACCTTGTAAAAAAAGAGCATTTATGATCTGGTTTTGTTGTTGCTTTTGTTTCATGGCAACTGTTTCAGCTGGGACATTCTGTCCCAACCACGAACATCTTCCATTAGTAGAGGAGGACTTTTGATGTTTAGTGTGAAAGGAAAACCCCACCTTTGATGTCAAGTCAGCATCTGCTTCCTTCCTTTTTTAGTTACTCGTGCCATGGGGTAAAATCTGACATGTAAAGAATAGAACAACTGTACTGAAGTAACCTGACATTTTGAATTACAGTTTCCTTTATGGAAACATACTGTAAAACTTAATAGAAAAATAACATTTCTAGAAGCACTTTGTCACAATTTATAGAATGTGTAAGTTCCGCAATGTCTTTAAAAGGCTACTAGATGAGATATTCCATACTAAATTTATGTCTTAGAACTATGGTAAAGTAGTAGCTGAGCCCATAGACAATACGAAGGTTTTTCTGTCAGGATTGGGAAAAAGAATCCAGTGCAATTTTACTAATTGGTTTACTAATGGATAAAGCCTTTGTGAAAATATCACTATTGGGAATATGATGAATTGAGAGTAAATGAACAAAGTTTCACATCAGAGCAAGACAATATGTTTTCCAAATTATAAATTCTGGGATCAAGTAGTTCTAGTTATTTGCAGTAATAGAGTTCCTTAATATGGATGACCAATGTCCACTGGATATAATGGGAATTGTCCTATTAGTTTATATGGGCTTGAGAAACCTTCAGAAATTCATCTGATACTACCATTTCGTATCTCAGAATAATCTATTAGGAATATATCAGCTTGTTATGTGTCTATCAGTCCTGCTTGATTTTATTCTTTAGTGTCCATCCACTAAAGGGTCTTTCTTTCCCCACTAAATAGATGTTGGTAACGTGTTTCAAAACACCTCCATTTAGAGCAGTAATGTGCAAAATATCATTTTCCATCTAAGCCTCCTATTTCTGTGATTTTATAATGTCCTTTCTTTTCAATACTTAATACAGCAAATTATTCGAACACTGCAGCTTCTCATGTACCTAATATTCAACAGAATTGTTTTCAGAAATAAAGCTTTGGCTTTGTCTCCCAGCTTCCATTTGAATTAGTCATTCAATTCTCTATTCTCTATTAATTGATGTTTTACCCCTGTTTTGTGTATATTGCTTCCAAAATCTGCTGGAAAGTTGCAGGTTTTGTTCTGTTGTTCACTTACTGATGTATAATTTTTAAAAGATAGATTTTATCCTAAATTTGTCTCTCACTATCACTGTTAGAAGAATTGATCTTCAGAATTTGTTCTAGTCACATGGATCTCCTTTGAGTTAAATTCCTGGCTTCTGGATCATAAACTGCAAAGTATAGCTTTTCAGTGTCTATTATGGGCATAAATTGAAGTGCAAGAAATTCCATTTAAATTGGGAAAAAAACGTTTTTGCTGGGGGGGGGTTATCAAACAGTGGAAGGAGTTGCCCAGAGGGGTTGTGGAGTCTCCATCCATGGAGGTATTCAAAACTGGAGTGGTCATTGCTCTGGGCAGCTTTCCCTAGTTGACCATGCTTTGACCAAGTGTTTGGACTAGAACTCCGGAAGTGACTTCTTACCTCAATTAGCCTGTGACTCTATGATAATTATCAGCTTCCTGTTTAACAAATGCATGAACTGTGTTGATTGCACTCAGCCTCTCAGTGACGCTGGTTTTTGTTTGACTGTTCCAGTTTAGATGATATCTTAGTTGGTGCCCCTCTCTTCATGGAACGGGAATTTGAGAGCAAGCCTAAAGAAGTTGGGCAAGTTTATCTGTACCTGCAAGAAAGTGCTTTCCTCTTCCGAGATGCACAAATCCTCACAGGCACTGAAGTGTTTGGTAGATTTGGCAGTGCAATCACACACCTTGGAGATCTCAATCAGGACGGATATAACGGTAATTTCTATGTCATGTCATAATATGTATCTCTGTGTAACACTGACATTAAAAATGGCTGAGCAGTGAATACGACGTTTCTGTGCAGTGGCTGAAAAAGGCTTTTTAACATGTAACTGCCTTTGAAAGTCACAAGAATTTACACTAATCCTAATGAAACTGGTGTCGAGGGACATATCATGAAAAGCTTACCCATAGGAGGGCAGTCATATTGACTACAGCGCTATTGTTTACTAAATATTAGCATGTTCATTTAAATAAAAATATCATGACTGTAATTTCATTTAAATACTTAGTTAAGCTGTTGCATTTGCTTAAAAGCGGAATTCTCCTCTCTCCTCAAATGCTTGGATGAATTTGAGAGTTGAATGAGGTCCAGTAAATGGAGCCCACAGTCAAAGAACTTGGAAAAGTACAGACATCCTATCATGGAATCAGACTTCCATTGGTACTTAGGCACTGAAGGGAACAGGTGCATAATGGGACCTTTTTCAAATGCCTATAGCACACACACACAACAAAATGTTCATGTAAGTTAACTGGGAACCTGAATGCAAGATAACAATCCAAGTAAACTAACTTGCCTATTTATCTGAGGTAGCCTGGAAGCCTTGAGCTCCTGGAGTTAGCCTCCTAGACATGGTCAGTAACACCCTGGTTTTCCCTGCATGCATTTCCTTACTTCTTATTTCCAGGATGTTAGGGATCTGCAGAGCAGGCACCTCTGCATCTAAAACCCCAAGGAGTTTTTCCTGGAGGAAATATTTTGCCCAGTAGCTTTGAAGATAGTTGGCCCACCAAAGAAAAATTAGCGGACTTAGCTCCTCCTTAACTTGAGGGCTGTTTCTCATGGTGCTGTAGCCACTGGACTCTAAGGCAATGTTGCCAAAGTCTGTCTCCTGGGCAAGGGATAAGTGGTGTCAGGAGCCATAGTCTTTCAGGATTCAAGGTGCACAAAAACTGAATCTCAGCCTGTGAGAAGCCACTGGATTGTGACTGCTGTGAAAGTCCTTACTGGATTCTCCTGAAATCCCACCACGGAGTCCAGCCCTCAGCTTCTCTGGGAAGGGCTGGCTGGTATCCCTGCTTTCCCACATTCTGGGAAAAAGGGAGAAGATATTCCTCCTTTTCTCTCTCACTGTATAGAGAAAGCTAGGAAGAATTTAGAGCCAAAGTCTTCTGCTTCATAACCGAAGATGCCAGTCATATACCTACCTTCCCATTGATGGTGCTGAAGTCAAGTTTAATAAAGCAGTTCAGCACCTTTACCTTCTCTAGATGAGAAGGTCAAAAGGAGAGCTGTAGATACGTGTCCTCTTCTAGTGTTTCCTATTGGCAAGCTCAACTAGTGTGGCTGTGGACTCTCAGTCCAGACGCATGATTCTCTCCACGTTCCCTGTGGAAGAGCGTTGTGACTTCCACTTCTTGGATATGGCAAGTCATTTTTTAAGGATTGCAGTGCTTCCCTGCAGAATGCCTAAAGCCTCCTGTTAAATTCTTGACTCAGTATTATTCCCATTTCTCAACAAAATGTTGGTGTGGTATAGATGAAAACATATAATTCCGTCGTTCTCTTTTGCATAATAAAGTACTGGATGTTTGAGGAGGGTGAGTTCCTTTGTCTATGTTGAATATTCTATCTATCTGGAAAAAGAAAATTAATTTTATCTGTCAGCTGTTCCTTATTAATTACATGATAGAGGAGATCAAGGAAAAATTGTATCTGTTTAAAAATACGGAAGTAGAAGCAGGCATTCATTAGATCTTGCTTTATTAAAGCTTATGAAATGCCATGCAAATATGGGAGAGAGGTCCAGTGTGAACTGACAATTTAGTATAATGCAATTACCCCTTCAAAGATGATTTTATAAGCTTTTGTCATGAAAGTTTGACACAGAAAAGACACTACAAACATCTTTATATGTTTGCCTTAAGGCTAGAATCCATACAGAAGTACAGAACGTTGAAGTTCTTGCATGTATGTAGCAGAAGCCATTTATGTCTGTTTTCCTGCAGGGACTTAATTTTTGCTTTATTTTAATTGTGCCCATTCTTTTTATTCTTTCATTGCACTGCAGACATTGCTATTGGTGCACCATTTGCAGGAGAAGACAGAAGAGGGAAAGTGCTCATTTACAATGGATACAGTAATGGGTTAAATACTAACCCTTCCCAGGTTCTCAATGGAGCCTGGGCCTCCCAGTCTATTCCTTCGGGATTTGGCTTCACTCTAAGAGGAGACTCAGATGTAGACAAGAATGATTACCCAGGTAAGATTTTTCCATTAGAAAGGGAATTTCATACTTCCATTCTCTGGAAAATGCATCATGCCTAAACTGCTGCTTTTGGAAGGCAGAGGTCAGAGTAAAGTATAGACATTTTGGGATAGTTCTAGCTTGCTTTCCCAAGAGTTAAAATCAGACAAAACAAATACTCCCTTTCCTGTCAAAAGACATGATCAGAAAGGCAAGAAAGGGCTTAAATAGTTATACTAAAGTAAAACATGTGAAGTTTACAATAAAAAGATTTAACCCTTTCCCCTACTTCCCAAAATTGAATGCTCTCAGCTTATTGAACTTGTAAGGTCTCCTTCATCTTGGCATTCTTTCTTAATTAAAAACATGTTGTGTTGTAGAAGAATGGATTGACTTGGTTGCGTTGCTAAGTTGTTTTTTGCTGTCCGAAGAGACACTGAGCTATATATGAATTCTTAATAGCTTTGATCGCATTACAAAAAAGCATAGATATTGCTTAAAGGTAGATATTTCATTTGGGCCTTTCCATCCCTTTTATGTTTTCATTCTGCTATATGGACTCTTCCTTTTTAGGTTAGCTTTGATTCTTTCTTACTAGTTTACCTGACATGCATTCAAATTTATCAAGTTTGTAACATTAGTTGAGCTCCCTGGGGTGGTATTTATTTTTTTAAGAGGAACATTTATAGTATCATAAGTAGCCTTTATGTTGGAGCTATTTTAAATGTGCATGTATGTACTCTCTCTCTGTCCTGTTTCTTTTTATCACAATTCAGAAGCCTTAGCAAGGGTGTGCAGTAGAACATTGTATTTTGTTTTTGTGAATGGTTTATCCACAGTAAAGCACTAAGTTTGATTAACCCTAACTTACTCTGAAATCACTTTAGTTAGACTGGATTATTTTAAGGCTAATGTTTTTAAAAGTTGTATTGTTTCAGAAGTGAAAGTTGTGATTTTCAAAGCGACAAAAATGGGATCGCTTTGCCTTTTTGTGATGGATTGTAAAAACCTTGAAAGAAGTTCTTTTTTCAAAAGCAGAATAGAGTTTCTGGGAAGGGGTGTTTACAGTAGAAATTATGGTTTTACAAACAGAAAAGCTGACTGCAAAGTAATAAAATGAGGCTATCACAAGACTAAAGTGAGAGGATCTTTAGCATTTGAAAAAAGAAAGGGCTTTTAAACCCTGGTCTGACTTTTTGTTTGCATATTGTTGATATTGCTATTAATAGTCTTTCATTGTCCATGACTAATGAGGTTCTTTTGGACAACCAAGCTCTTTATTAAAGTTTCAGCATTTAAACATTTCCTAAAGCACCCACAAGGTCCCCCAGCAAAACTAAAGAAAACAGGATATTGCATTCCTGACATTTCTAAGATTGAAAAGATAAAGAGAGGGAAGGGAGAGATTCTTTCAGGTCTTCTTTGCGTAACATGGGGAAGAAAGAAGAGAAGTCTAAGCAGAGTATTAGCACACTTTATGTGAAGCATGTTTAGGCTAATTTGTGAAAAGTTTGGGTGATGGGTCTCAATCTTTCTAAGTGTGTATCAAGGAAATGCTGTATTCAATTCAGTTGTGAGTTTTCTTGGAGTTATTCTCCTTGTCATTGTTGGCTCCACTATGCATCCTACTTGCAGAATTTCATATTGTGATAACAGCTCATGATGTGTTAGATGGCTTGGTTTTATTACATGAATTACTTATTTTTGGGGAAAAAAAGCCACATTTACTGTAATGCAGTTGGATATCTGTATGAGCAGTCCAGAGTACTGGTGAGAATATGTCAGAAAATGACAGAAGAAAACCTTGCTGTCAGTCACCTTACTGACAGCAAGAAAACCTTGCTGACTGACAGCAAGAAAACCTTGCTCAGCCACCTCTTCGTTAATTCACAAAGGCTTGAAGCACCAAAACAGAGTGGTAAAAAAAGCACAGTGTTAGCACAAAAATAGAATGCCTTCCTATGGGAAAAGGGAAAAAGAAGAAAGGAAAGAATATAGGGAAATGCAAGTCCAGGACAAACACACTGGGCAGTGAAGTAACTAATCATCCTCGTGTCAAAGAGCTTTTCTTCTTCGCCTCCTGATGGAAATGCTGAAGGCCAGGAGGAAATGAGGGACTGAACTTGGAAGGAATTAGAAGGAAGTTTTAATTTAGATGTCAGCTGAGAGGCAGAGTATTTGCTGACTATAGGTGGTCTGCGAAACTAGCCTTTAATTCTGTGCTTCCCAAACTATTGGTCGTGATTGTGATGCAAAGAGGATTGTGAAAGATTAGAAAAAAATCTAAGAAATTTTCATTAAAATTTGTAATGTGTATATTATGAAATCAACCGTTAAATAAAAAGAAAAAAGTAATAAAACCAAATTATGCTGACTTCCCACTCTCAGGAGTTCAGTTCCTGTATACTGGGAAATGAGAGCCAGCTGTAACGTCCGGCTGCAGGTATAAACACGTATCGTCACAGTCTAAGGTGAGATTCTCCAGGCAATTAGCTCTTCCATGGCTAGAGCTCAAGTGTTGTGTGAAGACAAACGAGCTCAAAAAGGGCTCATGCTTGCAAGAAGTTTGTGACTGACACCAATTTGTAAGGACTCATATAACTATAGTTGTGCTTGTACGATTTACTTGTGCCTAACACTGTTCATAAGGCAGGCACGTCCCTGCTAGGAAATGAGAGGCCGAGAGATGGCAGTTACTCTGCCATTTCCTTTTAATGCACTGTGTAGCATTTTCAGAGCTTTTAGAGTTTCAGACCTTCTTCTTTAAATCAGGCCATGTATTAAAGTTCTCGGAGTAGGTCACAGACCTAGAGGCCAGAAGAGACCACCTGCTTGTGTGGCATTTTATCACAGACCACTGAGCTTCATCCTGGTCTCCTGTGTCCAGTTGTGGGCTCCCCAGTTCCAGAAGGACAGGGCACTGCTGGAGAGGGGACAGCAGAGGGCTACAGAGATGATGAGGGGCCTGGAGCATCTTCCTTATGAGGAGAGGCTGAGGGACTTGGGTCTTCTTAGTCTGGAGAAGAGAAGGCTGAGGGGGGATCTGATCAATGCTTATAAATACTTCAAGGGAGGTTGTCAAGAAACCGGGGCCGTTCTTTTTTTCAGTGGTGCCCAGGGCCAAGACAAGAGGAAATGGGCACAGACTTGAATATAAGAAGTTCCACCTAAACATGAGGAGGAACTTCTTTCCTGTGAGGGTGGCAGAGCCCTGGCAGAGGCTGCCCAGGGAGGAGACCCTCCAGAGAAGGGTCTCCTTCTCTGGAGACATTCAAACCCACCTGGACACGTTCCTGTGCAACCTGCTCTGGGTGGACCTGCTCTGGCAGGGGGTTGGACTGGATGATCTCCAGAGGTCCCTTCCAACCCCGTGTGATTCTGTGAAAACTAATCACAGACAGGTTTAATGGTGGAGTAGCACAGCACAATACAGCCATATCGATACAGATGGAAGATCTGTCTGGCACCATAGTCTGTGTCCAACAGTGTCCAACAACAGATATCAAGGAAATTATACAGTTGTGATATTTCCCAGAATATTCACTCAGCTCTAACCAACTGGAGGAGCAAGGTGTTCCATAGTTAGAAATGGCAACTTAAAATTTAGTAGCCGTCGACAGACTCTTCTTCCAAGAATTCTTGTAGAATTTGTGTGAAATTTTGGCACACACAGCAGCCTGTTGCAAGGGGCTCCACAGCCCAACTGCAGGTTTTGTGGAGAAGTCATTCTTTCCACTGCATCCCATTCAAGTCTTGAATGTTCCACTGGACAGTTTCTTTGGATGCACCCTAGTTCTTACACTGAAGAGCCAGTAAACAATTTTTTTTTGTTCTACTCTTATTTTACAGACCTCTGTCATATTCCCTCCCTCAGCCATATGTTTTAGCAATCCTGAGGAGGGAACCCTAACTTATTTAATTATTCCCTGTGCAGAGGCAAATGGCCACCAGTCCTGCTGTACCAGATGATGTTTCAGTTTCCCATCACAGCTGCCTCTTCCTCATACATTTTTATGTAAAGAACAGTGTGTGAAGTGTGAATTATGTCTGGCTAAAGCGTTGCTTCTCGTAAAGATTTTACCATTGACCTGGGTTTCGAACTTATTTGACATTAAAAAAAGCTGTATCATCCCTACTGAGAAGAAAATCAGAATTAGTACTTCGCAAAACAATAATCCCAAGCCATTTTCATTGGTATCGGTGATTATGTTTGTGCAAGAAAATACAGTGAGCAGCCAGGAACTGTGGTCTGGCCTTGAGGCGACATGGCACAGCACAGCTCACCAGCACGGGATGGAGCCCTCCTGCCCACAGAAGCAGGATGGCCATGTGCAAACTGCTGTGTGGCCCAGGTTATTCCCCAGACCGTTCCTGGCCACTGTCTGGGAGAGCACTGACTTGCACACACTAAAATCAGACCAGGGTCTGTGCTGACAGCGTAACAATCTGGACAATACCAGCACAGGGCTCAAGCTCATGCCCTGACTTAATATTTATTTCACTTGTGTAGCCACTCAGTTCACAAAACACAAGCTGAATGGCCCTATAGTCAACATCCTACCTAAAAATGCTACTTTCTGTCGTAGGGTCAGCATACAGACAGTTCTTCTCGTTAGCAGTCCTGTCAGCGTAATGACCATCAGTGTTCAGCTGCCCTGGCGTAGATGTTATCACTGTAACAGTAACAGAGCTCCACTCTTCAGCATCCTGAAAATACAGGGATTTTTCTAACCTTTCAACAGGGAAGATTTAGGTTTTGTTATTAAGCACAACCCTTGGTTTACATCTCCACGGATTTCCAGGGCAGGACTTCTGTAAATCGTGTCATACTTGCAGACACTCCAGATGTTTTGTGCCCAGAACTATTCCTTTGTCAGCAGAGACAGGGGTGATAACGTGGTAGTCTCTGCCTGGAGGGCCCAGAGGTAGTGGGAGACACTCAGGCCTGGGAAGCAGAAGAGGCAGAAGACTGAGCTGATCATCCCAGCAGCTGTGTCACTCTCAAGACACGCAGC